CCTAAATGTTACACACTGGAACTTCAAAACTCAACAAATTTTATCTACATGAATCATGTATGTGACCTATTTTGGATTTAAAATGGCAAATTTTACCAAAACCTTTTGTATGCCTGACCAGTGCTGCCAGAAATCAAAATATATTTGTTTATTCAACATTTTTACTTTAGTAAAGGTATTATGAGCAAAATATACTTGTATGTCAATGTAATGTTAAAGTACTTTCCGTCCTTTGAGGTGATGTGTTGCACTATTCACTTTGATTTAACCTCCTCTGTTGGAGGAAAAACCTCCACAGAAGAGGAATGCTTTTCAGAAGGTTATGAGAGGTGTCGATGGTACAAATACGTCTTGTGAATAAACTGTGTAAACTCATTGTGCATTAGCAACGGTGCTGAGCTCCGAGGGCTTTATTTCGCCTCTTCAATAACTTTTTATTGAACCAAATGGCAGGGGCAAGTCAACCGTGGCTATGATAAAAGTTGTCTGCAAACAAGTAGACGGTGCTTGTGCAACACTTTTGGAGCAGCAACAAATAAATCATGATGTCCTAGATATTGCTTTCAATGGGATTATTAGAACTCTGTGTCATTTGATATGGAGCATGGGGAATTTATTGACAATACCATTACAAGTGTTTCGTTTGTTCACTGTACCCAAAAGTTTTGGTAGAGACACACAGTCGCACCAAAAACATAAATTACACATTTTGTATGGAAATACGCCTCTTGCAGTCCCTTTTTTGTGTCAACATCGTATATCCAAATCAGGCACAAGGACCTTCAAAGTCTTGTTTTTAAGCAGCTCCAGTGTTAATTTGCCTTGATTCATAAAATCATTGTGTATGTTGCTCGGCACCAACCTTGTACAAAATGTGCTCATATCCATCGCACATTCCTAGTCATTACGTCTTTGTTTAAAAGGTCCAGTGTGTAACATTGAGGAGGATCTATTGTCAGAATAAGTATATAATATTCATAGGTATGTTTTAATTATTGTATAATCACCTTAATATAATAACAGTAATGTTTTTGCTACATTAAAATTAGTTGTTTTCATCTACAGAGGGACCAAGTCCCTTTCTGGCAGATTCCGCCATGTTGAACCACCATGCTTCTACAGTAGCCCAGAACGGACAAACCAAACGCTGGCTCTAGATAGGGCCTTTTGCGCTTTTTTGCGTCACCGTTGTTTCGTCTCCACACTTCACAGCCCGTTCTCAGTCAAATACAGAGGCAAACAGTGTTCAGTTAGTTGCAATCTGCAACTTTACTGCTAGATGCCACTAAATCCTACACATTGGTCCTTTAAAGTGGTTCACTTCTTACTGCATGTCAAACAAGCGGAGTAGGTTTGTGGGAATCACTCCTTAATAACTGCTGAATATCAGATCTGATGTTAGTTTCTCTCTTTCCTTTTCCCATAAAATGTATTTCTTCTTAAAAATTAAATGGTATCTTTATAATAACTGCCCTGTGACATAATTTCATTTTGAAATGGGCAACAACATTTGTAAATGTTGTGCATTTTGAGTGATAATTCTGTGACCAGAATAATGTGGAGTTTTTCAGCTCACTGCATTGGTTTTAAAGCTGAACATGAACTCAGTGACGAAGCTCTGATCAGCCAAATGTACACCTCCTGTTCAGCATCAAACAGCATACAGACACAGTTAGACTGGTTGTGAACACAGAGCATTTTGCAAAGAACCAGATATTTTTCTTTCACTTTCTCAACCATGTCTGCCCAATGCAGGAAATCGGTTAGCTGAGTGGGTAATTGCTAGATGATGGTTTAAACAGCTCAGAAAATGCTCAGTCTGGCTTTGTGATGGGTAACAACTTTTTTTGATGCTCTTTATTTCAGACACATTTCAGTGGGGTAACAAGTTAATAAGCTCATACTATTCAATAAACAACTTCAAATTCAACTTTAATAATTTCTTCATCGAAGCCATCGACCTGTCTGTTAGATCCAATCCCAACTAGGCTGCTTAAAGAAGTTGTACCCTTAATTGGCACTTCTTTACTGGATATGATTAATCTTTCTTTATTATCAGGATATGTACCACAGTCCTTTAAAAGTAGCTGTAATTAAACCCCTTCTTGCACAGCAGCGACAGAAGCAGTCAACTGTGAATAAATAAACTTAGACAATACACAATAAATAATGCACAATCAATGATCAGTGATTTTAGTGTATGGGGTAGTCAAGGCACGACCATGCAGGAGGCTCCACCAGGGATCATGAGAACCTGCAAGACGCGATAAGAGCACAAGGAACCTCCGGGGAAGAAGTGGAAGTTGAGTAACATGCATTAATTTGGGGACATGATGGGGAGTGCAGAAAGAGGAGAGAGAGGGAAGAGAGGAGGGCTCAGGTGGCTCATGGGAAATCCCCCGCAGTGGTTAGTCTAGGCCTATAGCAGCACTTAACTAAGACGGATTTGATTCAGGGGACTCACGTGGATCCAGGCGCGCGTAACTATAAGCTTTATGCAAAGTGAGGGAACGTCGGAGGTAACTTTCTCGTTATGGAATTTGGGTGCTATACAAGTAAAGAATTGAATTTGAATTGAAGATTGGAATTGAGAGGAGCTTGGGTAACTTGAAGGGAGCCAAGGTGGCGAGAGGAAGCTATGTACAGGAGAGATGTGATCTCTTTTCTAGTCCTGGTCAGTTTACTCGTGCTGGCAGCGGGTTGTTGGGAATTAATTGAGCGTCTGTTAATGGCTGTATTTAGGCAAACCTGATAATAAATAGTTGCATAGGATGAACCTAGAAGTAACAAATGCATTGTATGTAGTTTTTCTGCATCGTGGTCTGTGGAACAGGGATGTGTCTAATTTTTGGTAAGTAGATTACGTAAAATGAAAGAAGGGCAGTCCTTAAGGAGCTGTTTGAGTGGGATTAAATGAGCAAGTCCGATGCAAAGATAAATGCCAAGCATTGCCCTAACAGTGGCACTTAGAGGCCAAAGGGTAATGCCATGCGGTACGAGGTAGCTATATCTTTTAGATAGGTGAGCTCGTTCTGGAGGTTTTTGGGCCAGAGTATAAGAATTTTCGTTTGATTTCTGGAGTTTGGTAGACATCAGGAAAAATTGCAGGCTGCATCCGGATTTTATGTCCTTAGAAAGACATGTTTTTAATTTAGGCAATAATTGATGTAATTTCAGTCGGGCTCGATTTGATAGAGTATAATGCGTATGCATCTGCGTAGGCAATTGGTGAAGCTGAATGGTGGAGTGACCTAAAATGTTGCCTAAAGGCATATATAAGTAAATAGAATTGTTGGGCGAAGTTACAGGGAAACCTTGTGGAACTTGCCATGATTAACTGTAGTATTTTATGGACGATTCATCGTTTAACAGTGTACAGAACTGGTTGAACCGATCTGGATAAATATTGGACTTAAGACCAGCTTTAGTGTGGTTTCCTTTAATGCCAATTTGATGCTCAAGGGTCTCTGCTAAAAGGAGATATTATGGTGTCAATGGTTGTCAGAATTGCAGCCAGCTTAAGATCTAAGAATACCCAAGTGGCAGAGGACAAGTCCATTGATACAGAAGCAAGATCAAGAAGGTCATTACCTTAAACTTTAACCAGAGCGTCTCTGTGCTGTGGATGAACTCTAAAAGCGGTCCTGAGCTTTGAAAATCGTCAAATTAAATTATTGCCTATGTAAAAAAGGTCACACAACTGTTTGGCGACACTTGTTCCAGAATCTTAGAGAGGAAGGAGTTTTTTAGAAATCGGGGGCTGTATAGTTGGCTAAAACCCCTGGATTCAAGAGTGGGCTTTTT